GAAAAGGTGAAATGATTAAGAAGTTCAAATTGGTGGGATTGCAAATTGGTGCATCCACTATGGAAAATAGTAGATTTCCCAAAAAATTAATACTAGAACTACCTTATGATCCAGCAATTCCACTCTTGGGTATTTATTAAAAGAAAACAAAACACTAATTGGAAAAAATATATGCACCCCTATGTTTACTGCATCACTATTCACAATAGTCAAGATATGGAAACAACTGAAATGTCTGTCCAAATAGACATTTGGATGAAGAAATTGTGGTACATTTATACAGTAGAGTTATTACTCGGCCATAAAAAAGAATGAAATCTTACCATTTGCAACATGATGGACCTAGAGGATATTGTGCTAAGTGAAATAAGTCAGACTGAGAAAGACAAATAACGTATGACTTCACTTACATGTGGAATCTAAAGCACAGAATAAATGAACAAACAAAACATAAATAGACTCATAGATACAGAGAACAAACTGATGGTTACTAGATGGGAGGGGGTTTGGGAGAATGAGTGAGAAAGGTGAAGGGATTAGGAAATTCAAATTGATAGTTACAAAATAATCATGGAGATGTAGGGTATAGCATATGGAATAAAGTCATATTGTAAAAATTATGTATAGTATCAGATGGGTACTAGACTTATTGGAGGGATCACTTCATAAATTACATAAATGTCTAACCACTATTATGCTGTATACCTGAAACTAATATAAAATAATATTGAATGTCAACTGTAATTAGAAATTAAAAATAAATAAATAAAATTTACACTCAGAAAAGCAGAGTAAAAAAAGATCTTTTTTAATTTGCTAAGAAGACTAAAAAGACAAGAAATGTAGACTAGAAAGTGTTTTTTCTTATGCTTTTGTATGAAATCCACACCCATAATGCATGAGATGAACAAACTAAATGAAATATAAGCTCTTCAAGGCCTATCTCCACAATGAACCTTTCTCTTGCTAATCAGAATGGCCCAGCAATCACAGACAGGGCTACAGAAAAGGGCATTTCTCTCTTAAAAAAATAAATTGAAAATAGGCNTTGACTTCTGATTTCTTTGACTACAGAAAGGAGGGGGGCCCTACTGAGAACAACTAGAGTTGTGGTCATCTGTTTTGTCAGGCCTCGCTGAGAGACTCTTGGGTGTCCCACACTGTCCTTCTTCTATTGTGTTCCAGCCTCAGAGAGGGAAGTCCTTTTTATTCTGAGTCACTGCTCAGTAAACTTGATTACTCAAGCTTGGCTCGGGTGCCAAGGCCTAGCCAGGAGCTTGAGAAGGAAGGCTGACCTCTCGTGTGGGTCCCACATGAACTCCACGATGGCAGCGCTGTGTGAGCATGGTGCGCTGCATCGCCGACTCTGTCGACACTCAGTTCTGCCCTTCGTGGGCCTTTTCTCTCTGGTCACTTCTGCTTGGGATCTGCAGGCTATGGTGATCAGAGGAAAAAAGGTGCCTTCCCCAGTTGCCCAGAAGCAGAACTCCTTGATCGGGGTCTGAGCTGAAGCAGCTCTTCCTGTATTGAAATCTTTGGGGTATTTTTATTAACTGTTCTGCATCATCACACAAGGGTGGAGGCGGTGGTGCATTCATTGCCAACACATTTATTAGCACCTATTCATGCAGGCATTGTGCTGAGCACTGGGGTCGCCATCACAACTAAGATAAAAAGTGTTCCTGCTTTCAGAGTTGATCATTTCTGAAAAAAATCAGACACATTATAAGGCAACTGATGCACAGTTTGATGAAGACCATGATAGGCAATAACAGTATTTTGGGAGCACATAGACGGGGCACCCACTCCAGACCTGAAGGGCTGGGGCAGGTGACATGGGAGGAGTGACATCTGAGACCTCAAGGATTACAAGAAAAGTTAGGCAGGGGAAGAAGTTGGGAGTTGGGTAGTGAGGAAGAGAAACAGTGCTCCGGAAAGAAGGCATGGCAAATTCAAAGGCCTACAGGCAGAGAAAGTGTGCAGAGGCCAAGCAACTGCGATTAGCTCCGGACAGGTGCAGCAGTTTGAAATAGGCTGTGGCAACATACGGAGCTGGAGAGGTGAGCTGGGGGGAGGTATGAAGGGTGGTTATCATTTAATCTTTGTATATGGTACATGGGGACCACTTGCTTTCACAGACTAACCTACTGTACCTTGGGTGTTTAGTGGCAGGGGGTGGGGCTGAGGAGTAATATTTTTTTTCAGTCCTGCTGAGTTCTGGGGATCATGGATGATCTCAGAGACCTTTGGTCCTGGCTCCCAGCCCATACCATCCAGGGACTCCAAGGCAGCCAAGTGCCTCACTCCTCCAGGTAGAATCTTTTGTTGCTCAAAAGATGTCAGAGCTTTCTTCCTGTTGCTGCCATCAGTGCACTCCACCCCCAAAATTGGTGCCCTACCTCAAGGTCCTCTCTGCTATCTCTGCTGCTGCGTGGCCACTGGTGCTAGGTTTGTCCTCACTGCACCATTAGGTATTTGCAACTGAGCAGGCCTTTCATACTCACCAGACGCCTACAAGAAGGGATGGTTCTGCATTTGTACAAGTGGGGAAACTGAGTCTCAGAGACATCAATTCATTTGTTGCAAGCCACAGAGCTATAAGTAGCAAGGTAGAATTTGGGCCTGGTCTGATTCCAAAGCCATTATAACCCCACAACAGTGCCTCTTTCCCGGTCACTATTATAGTCCTTAGTAGGATCCCTTAAGCTGGCTCTTTCAGGTCTCTTATTGACCTTTCCCTTCAAGATGAGTCCACCAAAGATTGGGTCAGAGGCTTTTGAGGGGCCTTTTCAAGAGTTGTCCCTTAAATGTGTCCCTCACACAGAGGAAGGACCAAATTTAGACACCACCAATCTTTAGGATATGTTCAATGACCCAACAGCAGCACAACCTACCAAGCTCTATCTCCAAGATTTAAGACAGCCTTCCATCCTTCACTTTGATTAAGAATATAACAATAATTTCTGATGTTGGTTAATGTTTTAAAATTTTATCCCTCCACACAACATGATATATAGATGATGTATTACAGAATGGTACACTTGAAACCTTGGTAACTTTACTAACAATTGTCACCCCAACAAACTTTAATTNCATGATTTGGTGGCCCACCAGTGAAGGGTGTGTGGACTATCGGTGTGCCATGGCACACCAGTTGAGTGCTTTTAGATCTTTTTCTGGGGTGATCATCTCCAGTTATATGCTGAAGATTCCCAAATCGATTTCTAGCCTAGGCCTCTATGCTGAGGCCAGACACGTTCAACTTCATATTTTTGAAAACAAGTTTATAGTATTTTACTCCAAATCTCATCTTCTGCAGTGAGGGAACATAGAGGGAACATAGCCCCATGCCACAGAAGCCAGAGACCTGAAAGTCTTTTTCAACTTCTCCCTCTCTTCTACGACCCTCAGCCCATCAATTACTAAGTCTTCTCAGAGTGCTCCTTCTATATTTCCACAATCACTTCTCTAACTTGGGTCCACACCCTTTCTCACCTGTTAATACTGCAAAGGTCCTGTTGGTCTCCATGACCCTAAACTGGTCACCAGCAGGCCAGCCTTCACAATACTGCCAGTGGGCTTTCTAAAATGCTAATATGACCACATCACTTCCCTGCCTGAAGCCCTTTGGTAGCACCCTTTCAAGGTCAAGTTCAGACCCTGCAGTTCAGTATAGGAAGGCCCTTGTGACCTCCCTTATCTCTCTAAGCTCACCTCCTGCCATTTCCTCACATTCTCCTGAAGTGCCAGTAACAGAGAACTGCTTCCAACCTCTCCCGTTGTTGCTTCTTGACGCTGGACATCTTCATTGCTCCTTCACTGCCTGAGATGGTGTGGCATCTCCACTGTTTTTCTTTTCTTTTCTCTTTTTCTTTTTAAATGAAAGTTTATTGGGATGACAATTGTTAGCAAAGTTGCCTAGGTTTCAGGTGTACGATTCTGTAATACTCCACTGTTTTCTAACTAACTCGTATTTGTTCTTAAAACTTAGCTCCAAGTGGCTTTCTTAGAGAAGCCTTTTGGGCTGTTTGCTCCCCACTGCCCGTCTACACCCTTTACCGCAGACTACGACCTCCTTGACGGCAAGAATAGGTTTTGTTTACAGTTATATTTTCAGAAGTCAGTGCGGGGCCTGGTATGAGCTCAGTAACTGTTTTCTGAGAGACTGAGTGAGTGTGCCTAGATTCTCTAGCCTGAGGTTTATTTATACAAAGCTTGACGCCAACCGTAATGGCAAACCACAATACCCGAATTAAAAAGTGAAAACGTGATCAAAGCTTTAGGGGAATCCATGGCTATGACGCGACACTGTGTTTAGTTTTTTCGCCACCGTGCACGAGGCCAGTGACCTGCCCACCCCTCGCTCCCCCGTCAGCTGCCTGTGCTACCTATTATTATCGAGGTTAACCAAATAGTGCTGTATATGGTCATGCTTTCTTTATTTCTTATTGTCATAAGGAGGAGTGCAAGCTCCAGTGTCAGGAAAAAAATAATCTGACTTCTGTCCTTTGTCAGTCTCTTAAAGAATGTTGGAAGGGTTCTGTTAGGAAAGCCACACTGCAATGAAAGGCAATTGCCGACCGAGAGATGCTCTACCCCATATCTGTGGCCACCGGTCTTTGCCCTGCTGAGAGCAGTGAGTCAGGCCCACAGGGGCTGCTCAGCTTTTTCTCACAGGGAGACTCCTTCTAGCAGAAGTCTACCCTTATCTGGATATTTGGCCTATTTACACACTTTAATGACCTTTCTTTTCTTTTTTGTTTTGAAGTTTAATTTTCTTTTTCTTTCTTTCTTTCCTTTTTTAAAATTAATTTCAGGTGTACAAAACAATGTAGTAGTTAGATATTTACGCCCTTCACAAAGTTGATAACCCCCCTCCCCCAACCTAATACCCCCTCTGACATCGTATATAGCTGTTACAATTCCATTGACTGTATTCCCTATGCTGTACTCCGTATTTCTTTTGAAGGCAAGAGTTGGGGTAGAAGTATCCTTAGGAACTTCACAGTAAATCAGTTTGCCTCTGATACTCTGGCTTTCTATTTGCATGCACCAATCCTTCCGTTTCGTTTACTTACCAATCCACAGCTTTACCTTCTTCATTTCTGCACGATATTGTCGCCTCCAGGACCCCAAAGAGGCCAAGGAAGAGCAAAGCCAGCATTGTTCTTAGAAGTCTCGCTGTCATTTTCTACCTGTCGCCTTTATTCCGTGCCACAGCCGGAGACTTTCCCCATAGAATGTTGAGTCTGAGTTTCAAGTCTCTCAGCCTGTGCCAGCTCTAATGTATGATTCCACATACCTCTGCTATTTGAGGTTCAGGAATATTCAGAATGGAAAGAATCCCCTGTCATTCTGTGATTCTGTCACAACATGCCTACGTGACTCTGGATGCCTTTGTGCTGAATTGTTGACTGGTTTGCAAAGTCATCAAAAAGTTCTAGAGAGAAAAAAAGGGATGTATAGTTAACCCTTTGGAGTGAATATTATGTAGTATGAAGTTCAGTAGACAGGGCAATTCCATGTTGATAAGTCGATGTTGAATTAAATAGTTTTCATTTTTCCCCCTCATGATTGTCTCTGTATGAGTGACAGCAAATGCTTGTGGTTCACACAATAAACAGAACTGACAAAAACCTATGGCTTAGCAATAATTAGGATCGTTCACTTGTAATCTTAAGGAAACAGTTCCTAAAGTGTACTTCAAGGGGTTGTTTTAACGGAAGAGCAAAATCAGTTGTAGTTGACCAAAGATGTTTACACATCGTCTCCACCTCCTGGTTTTAGCCACTCAACACGATGCTGTACTTTAGAGGTCTTCATGTCCAATCGGCTATGATGCAATCAGGTAAACATATTGACTGCTCACTCTTCAGGGCCAATAAAAAATGTTACAAACATCTCTTTTGCCCAAACTATTTTTTCTCATTCTTGAAACTGAGTCTGAAGTTAAAGGCCAAGAGAAAATGGCCCGTTACTATAACAGCTATAAAAAGGTGAGACCATTCTCTTTTTAGAGGAGGGGAGGGAAGGGTAGATAGGCATATGAAAAGGATTTCTTTAAGTATGTAATGCTTTTGAACCAATTATTAAAGATGCTATTATAATAAATATAAATATGATTACCTCATGCCTGGAAATCATAAGGCTCTGATCTGTCCCTATGATTATGGATTCAGGTTAGGGTCACTTAGGAATTCAGACCAAACTGAAAAGCCCTTCAAATTGGATGAAGTCTATGGTTAAGCTGGAGTTGTTCAGGGTTCTCAGAGTTCATTAGAAGGGGAAAACTTGGGGTTCGATTCCTCCTAAGACAGAGTTTTGTGAGGGATGCTTGGACCACCCGCCCACATTTTCCAGTGGTGCCTGCATAATAGACAGAATTCTGGGCCTTAACCCAAACCTGCTAAATCAGAATCCTTTCAATTGGGCTCAGGAATCTACATTTTTTACAAGGATTTTGATGATGCTTGTGGACACTAAACTTCGAGACTTGCTGACCTGAGGCCCAAGCTATGCTGTATCTGGTAGATTCACAATCTACGAAACTGGTAAACCAGGAAACATTTTTCTGACCATTCTTTTATGGGCATACTTTTTTTTCATCATTTTCTAAAATAAACTTCTATGAAATAAACTTCATAGCATGAAGTTTATTTTTCTAA